GCCTCTCACTGTTGTGGCCTCTCCCGTTGCGGAGCACAGGCTCCGGACGCGCAGGCTCAGCGGCCATGGCTCACAGGCCCAGCCGCTCCGCGGCATGTGGGATCTTCCCGGACCGGGGCACGAACCCGTGTCCCCTGCATTGGCAGGCGGACCCTCAACCACTGCGCCACCAGGGAAGCCCACTGGTCTTACTTTATATCAGATATACTCACTGACTTTGGTGTTTTCCATTGTAATAAGCCTCACCCCATATTATTGGTGATTGTGGGGCAATTACTGTTATTGTTTTGGCTTTGACCATTATATCACAAATCAGAGCCATAAACACAATTGCAGGCCAATGCTTAATTTATGTCAGTTTGTTCAAATTCATAATTTTAATTTGATGGCCAAGGGCCCCTGGAAAAGCTATTGTGGAATTGTAGTTTTCAGATGGCATCCCTGGATGTTTTTGGTGCTTGTTGGTTTTGTGAGTCTAAATAGTGCCAGTGACTTCCATGTATCCCTGTTAATGCTCCCTAAGATGCAATGCTGGGTGACTTCCACATTGTAAGGGAAGGTTCTTGCCCTTTTAAGAGCTTTTAATCCCAAAATAGACCATGGAGGCATAAACCCCAAAGAACTCGAGCTGAATGGGAACATCTAATCAGGCAGCAAGTTTTTTATAGTCCCACTGTGTGCCTAGCACTAAAGGAAAAAAAAATCTGCGATAACATAGTGTTTATAAATAGAGTCTCCTTTTGTGGTTAAATGCCAAAAGGAAAGGAAGGAGTCTGCTCACAGATCAGGTGGAGAAGGTTTGGTTTTCGGAGGGTGTGCTACGAATCTTCAGGAGGCCAGCTGGAGGAAAGCTAGGGTCAGGAGATACAGAAGTGGCCTCGGGAGGTCCTGTTGACTTGGGAGGGTTAGCAGAGAGGCCTGATGGGCCTTACGAGCCATCATTAGAGGGCCATCATGGAGAAGGAAGACTAGACCTCCTATGTGACTCCAGAGGTAGAAATAGGACCAAAAGGTGGACATAACAGGAGGCAGAACTTTCTTTTAAAACATAGTGGTTTAAAATGTAAAATAGCTAGCTAGTGGGAAGCAGCCGCATAGCACAGGGAGATCAGCTCGCTTTGTGAGCACCTAGAGGGGTGGGATAGGGAGGGTGGGAGGGAGGGAGACGCAAGAGGGAAGAGATATGGGCATATATGTATATGTATAACTGATTCACTTTGTTATAAAGCAGAAACTAACACACCATTGGAAAGCAATTATAGTCCAATAAAGATGTTAAAAAAAAAACCCAAAAACAGTGGTTTATTTTTTTCTCTAGTGGTTTTTTTCTGATTGTAAAATAAAATTAATGTACTTTTATATAAAAAATTTGAAAACATCAAAAAGTAGAAGGAAAAAATCAGTCATACTATTTATTATCAAAAGATGGCAATTGTTATTTTTTATATTTCCTTTTTTAAACATAGCTGTGATAATAGTGTTTACTGCAATAGCAAAATATAAACATTTGACATGATGTAAGCATTTTTCCTTCGTAAGTAGCATTTCTTTTTTTTTTTTTTTTTTTTTTTTGTGGTACGCGGGCCTCTCACTGCTGTGGCCTTTCCCGTTGCGGAGCACAGGTTCCGGACGCGCAGGCTCAGCGGCCATGGCTCACGGGCCCAGCCGCTCCGCGGCATGTGGGATCCTCCCGGACCGGGGCACGAACCCGTGTCCCCTGCATCGGCAGGTGGACTCTCAACCACTGCGCCACCAGGGAAGCCCCATAAGTAGCATTTCTAATGCTACATAATATCATATGGCTATACATTATTTAGCCATTCCTCTATCATTGGAAACTTGGGTGGTTTTATTTTTTTTGCTTTTACAAACTTGGTGATGAATATGTTTCAGTATGGAACTTTTTTATTTCTCATATTTTGTGCTTTCTTATGGCAAATTATCAGAAATGAGATGACTAGGTCTTTCTAACAGAGTTGTATAATAAAGGAATAGTTTGCTTAAGAAGTTCTGAGTCTGAAAGCCTACATATCAGGGTATTGAAGAAGTATTTCTTTATGTTGGACATGGTCACCATTAAACTTCCTGTCCGCTCTTTGATTCTGTGAATCTGTTAGAGGGTTGAATATTCTGTTTGTGATACTGATTTGGTTTTGGGGAGAGCCAGGCTGAAGGTCAAGGATTTTGAAGCATGATTAAAAGTTTCAGACCGGTTGCCACAGATGCATACAGAGCAAGTGAAACTTGACATCTTTCTTGCTGTATGCCTTGTTCTTACTTTGGGATGTGCTTCCGTCTTCCTTCATACTCATATCCGCACACACACACCCATTTTCTAGAGAAGCACACATGACTGACTCCTTCAGTGTTTGTTCCAGTACTTCCTGTGGCTGTGAATCATTGTCTCTCCACCCCCCAACCCCCTTCACCCTCCAGAGGTTCTTCAACACTATGGAGCAGGGCCAGCACACCATGTCATAAATCACAGGCAATAGCCAGTTTACTGGGTGGGCTGGTGGGCTATTTTAGGGGTGGAATCAGGGCCCTGAAGCCACCTTACTCCATCCTCCAAGGTTTGATGATTTTTTTCCCCCCAGGTAATTAAATGTGTGTCTTGTGGACCTGGGCTTGGCTGGAATGCTCAAGGGTCCTGAAGATCCTTCTATAGCTTCCTTCTGTTGAATCCATTAAGAGAAGATGGCAAAAGTCAACATAACTAGAGACCTCATCTGTAGGCAGATAAAGGTAAGCAACCCAGACCTATGAACCAGAGCATGAGGTCCTTTTTGCCCACAGATTCATGTTATAGCTGAATAAACTGAGGACTAGAGTCTGTGACTTGCCTGAAGTCACACAACTAATTAATGGCAGACACAGGACTAGAACCAAGGTCTCTTGACTCTGGTCTTCTTTTATCCAAGAACATGGAATCATGGAGACTCCTGTATCCAAGCGCTTGTACCTGGGCTGCTGGGATTGATGGAGTCTGGTGAAGGAGGGGAGCATGTATGTGCACATCTGTGAAGGAGGCGGGGTGTAAATAGAGCTTCTTCATGTTGCTCTGGCTGCTCAGCTGTACATATAACAGAACCTGGGGGAGTCTTAATCCCAGTTTAGCTTAGACTCTTTCTTCTCTTCTTCAAGGGTCTCCTATACCAGAGCCTGCACCTTTTCTCTGCAGTTTGTACCTGGAAGACACTCCAGTACTGTGAGATGAATAGATGACTGGGCAGTCCAGCTCATTTAGCGAGGTAGCCCAGGCTTTGTCAGGGAACCCCTCAGTAAAGGAGCACGGGGGTTTAATGGAGGAGATTCAACCAAGACAAGATGTGCTTTTGAAGTAAGAACCTCAGGCTGGGGTCAGGAGCTTAATCTCACCACTGCCCTAATTAACTACCTATACGACTTTAGTCACTTTACCTTTCTGTGCCTCAGTTTTCTGTTGTTAAATGATAATAATGTCTGTCTGCCTGCAGGCTGATCTTGAGAATGAAATCCGAAAGTACCTGAGAAAGTTCTTTGTAAAGGTTAAGTGCCAAAAATCTTTTAAAAATTAAGTGGCATGCAGCATAAGCTGTGGTCACCATCCAGAAGGATTCAGTGTATGCCTTTACATGAGCCATGTACCTGGTGCACGTTAGTCTGTGTTTTGTATATTTTCCCCTGCATCCCTGAATCCTTTTGCAGCTTTGTCCATTTGTGGGGGTTTTTGTGTGTGATTTCATTAGACTGGGTGGCCCCAAGGACAAGGACCAATTCCTAGAGGCACAAAATCATAGAATTGGAGGGACCATGCAAGTTATTTTTCTCCTTTATATATATCCCACAATATGTGTCCTAAAGATGATGCCCACCTTCTCTAACCTAAGTATGGAAACATTCCCTATTTGTTGTTTCAATTTTTTTTTTTTTTTTGGTAACCCAACAATTACAACTTAGTGCTTAATTATATCCTCTCTTCTATCGATATTATTCTCTAATCCCTGCCCAAGTATACTGTAAGCTCCTGCAGGCCAATTTCTTGTTCTCTTTTCTAGCTCCTGTGGGGCCCAGCACAATGCTGCATATGTAATAGGAACATAGTAAATCATGTTAAATCGAATCAATGAATCTATGAGTTTGTTTCTGTTCCCCAGGAGCGGGGTGCCCTGAGCTTTGAGCGGCGCTACCATGTCACTGACCCCTTTATCAGACGGCTGGGCCTGGAAGCAGAGCTGCAGGTAAGAGATCCAATTTGCACCCTAGATGCAGATGACTGGCTTTCCATTCTCTGCCTGCAGAGAATCCTCTTTGCACTATTCAAGGCATAAACAGTTTTTCTCTGCAGGTCATACCTGAAGGTTATCTCTCCTTTACAGTGGTTTTATTAGGCACATAAATCTGAATCAAGATTAGTGATTGACATGGTCACACAGAAATTGTTTTTTCATCATATTATTTCCTTTGTGCTTGGAAAAAGACTATTGAATTTCATACCACTGTTTTTACTATTGGCTTGGACAGTAAAGATTCTTAACTTTGTATAGGAATTTAGAGTTTACAAAGTGTTTTCACACACGCACACACATACACACTTGCATTTTAGCTTCAAAGAAATGCTGTGGGTGGTATATAGGAAATAGGTATTTAAAAAAAAAAAAAACGTTTAGAAAAACCAAGCACCTTGTCCAATCTTGTCCTGTCCAACCCATGGGGAGTCAGGCCTACAGTCCAGATGTTCAGCTTTTTAGTTCTGTCTGACACAGAAACGCTTCCCAACGTTAGCTCCATTCCCTTTCCTTCCTCAGAACCGTGTTTTGAATCCAACTTTTAGCTGTCCTCTCCAGCTAAGTGTCATCTGCAGGTTGAATAAGAATTCTCTTTGGTTCGTTCACGTTAATGTTTGTAAGTAATTGTGTTGATCTTAGAAAAAGACTAGAAAGAAATTCATTGCCTACTAACAGTGTTATCTCGAGTTAATGAAATTATAGATGATTGTTATTGCTTTCTTTTCATTATAAACTTTTATCCGTTATAAAATATAACTATATTAATAGTAATATGGAAAAGATAAGTAAAAATTACTTGTTATTCCCACCTCCCTAGTATAATTACTATGTATTTACTTCCTTTTATCTTTTGCATATTTTTACATAATTGTAATCATACTTTACATTGAATTTTGTATCTTTTCTATAATAATCCTTTTCTCCATGTTACCAAGTGGTCTTTACAACTTTCACTTAAAATTTTTTTTCTGATTATATAAGTAGTAAATATTGTAGTAGAAAATATGGAATGGACAGGAAAATATAAAGAAAACAAAATCACTTTTAATTCTACCATCCAGAGATAAACATTGTTAATGTTTGGTATATTACTTTCATGTATTATGAAGCAGAATGCTAGTTAAGAGATGGGCATTACAGCTGAATAAATTTAGTTTCAAGACCTATCTTCTCCACAGCTATATAGCCTTGTTCAAGTTACTCTTAGTTTCCTGATCTGTAGAATGGATCAATAACTGAGAATTGTTGTGATGATTAAATGAGATGATTTTTGAAGTGATTAATACAATGCCTGGATCATATAAGCTAGTTAAGTAAATAACAATTATTATTATGTCTTCCAGTTTTTTTCATGCTTATGTAATTTTTTTCTGCAAAGTGGAGCTCATACCATTTACACAGTTTGCTAAAAACCCTTTTATACTTTTATGTCATTATTGTTTCCCCATACCTCTAAAAAGTCTTTGAAAACATGATTTTTTAAATATATTGTATTATTTATCCTTTACTCTATTTTTTTGAATTTCTTTCCATATTTCCTTAAAACATAAAGTACATCCCTTTAATGCAGTTGGAGGTGGGGCATGGAAGGTTTTACCTCCAAGGGGACATTTGGCAATGTCCAAACAGTTTTGGCTATGAAAACTGAAAGAGTACTACTGGCATATAATGAATAGAGTATAGGGATGCTGCTAAACATTCTACAATCATAGTACAACAAAGAATGTGCAACAAAGAATTATGCAGCGCCCAATGCCAGTAATGCCGAGGTTGAGAAACCCTGCTCTGGTGGATGCTGAGTAGACAGTTGAAGGCTGGTCTTCTCCTTTTAGCTGTGCCTCCACCCAACCCATATTGTCTCTACTATCTCTTCCTGGTTTTATAACTTTGTCCACAACAGACTTGGAAACCTCTGTGAACACAAAACAGGATTCTAGCTATTATTTCCAAAGATTTGGCACTCAAATACAAAAATATGTTAAGGTGGATGCACTGTCTGAATTTGCACTTGGCTGAAGGCCACCTTGGCGGGGACCTATAGTAACAGTGCACAATATGAAGGAATGCCCACAGGTTTAGGTGTTAAAACAAAGACCTAGTTTGGATTTCCCTGGTGGCGCAGTGGTTAAGAATCCGCCTGCCAGTGCACGGGACCCAGGTTCGAGCCCTGGTCTAGGAAGATCTCACATGCCGTGGAGCATCTAAGCCCATGTGCCACAACTACTGAGCCTGTGTTTTAGAGCCCACGAGCCACAACTACTGAGCCCATGCACGTAGAGCCCACACTCTGCAACAAGAGAAGCCACTGCATTGAGAAGCCCGCGCACCAGTACGAAGAGTAACCCCCACTCGCCACAACTAGAGAAAGCCCGCATGCAGCAACAAAGACCCAACAGAGACCTAGTTTAAATCCCAGCTTTGCCACCTGTGAGGCTTAGAGAAGTGAGAGCAGATGGAAAGAAGCCTGGGAGAAAAATAGGTTTGTGAGAGAATCGGGGTTGGACCTGTAAAGTTTGAAAGCCTGTTGGATAACTTTGTGGAGATGTCAGGTGGGCAGTTGATGGTCTTAATGAGGGGAGAGCTCTGGACTATAGGGAGAAATCCGGAGACTTCAGCGATCCATGGAGCCTTAGAGAACAGGGTCCAAGACCTAGCTCTGGAGATACTCCAGCTTTCAGAAATTGATTACAAGCTAAGGAGATAAAAAAAGTTAACCACGAAAGAGAGTCAGTGAAGTAGAACGGAAACAGAACCAGGAGAGTGTAAGGAGAGTATTCCAAGAAAGGAGTGGTCGGTTCTGCTCAATGCTTCTGAGAGGTTGAATAAGTGAGGACAAAACAGTGACTGTGGTCTTGACTAGAGCAGTTTTATTGGAGTGGTGAGAATAGATACTAAATTGGAGGGGTTGAGAAGTGAATTGGAGGTGAAGGAGTACAACAGCAAGTAGACAACTCTCTATTTAAAAAAATTGTTTTAGAGAATTCCCTGGCAGTCCAGTGTTTAAGACTCAGCGTTTTCACTGCATGGGCCTGGGTTTGATCCCTTGTCGGGAAACTAAGATCCCACAAGCCACATGGTGCAGGAAAAAAAGAAAAAATTTTTTAAAGAGGGTGATGAAAATTTATTTATCTATTTAGTCAGTTACTACAAACTTTTCCCCTAGATGAAAGGAAAGATAGGATGTAAGCAGTAAAAAGTGTAAACTGTTGCAGGAAGGGGGACCCCTTTCCAGGGCCCGAGATTGGGGTCTTATCTAACACTCAGAAATGAATTGTCCAAGGAGACACACATGCTGACAAAGCAAGAGACTTTGTATTGGGAAGGAGTGCCTGGGTGGAGAGCAGTAGGGTAAGGGAACCCAGGAGAACTGCTCTGCCATGTGGCTCACAGTCTCAGGTTTTATGGTGCTGGGTTAGTTTCCAGGTTGTCTCTGGCCAATCATTCTGACTCAGGGTCCTTCCTGGTGGTGTGAGCATCACTCAGCCAAGATGGGTTCCAGTGTGAAGGATTCTGGGAGGTTGGTAGGACATATGGACTGGTGTCTCCTCTCTCCTTTTGACTTCTCCCGAATTCTTCCGGTTGGTGGTAGCTTGTTCCATGTTCTTTACCAGGATCTCCTACTGTAAGATAACTCATGCAGCTGTTTACTATTGCCCCTGGCCAGGGTGGGTGGTTTTGGTCAGTGATTCCCCTAACAGACCTGTAAAAGATACCTTCTCTTGCTTTTCTACATCTACTTCTCACCTTTCTTTCTTCAGCTAACTACCTGGGCAGCTGACTTGCACAGATGTATCAATAGTCTCTCTTGTCATCTATCTTCTTGTTGGCTTTAACCAATGAGGAATCATTTCAGGAGATTGGAGGAAGAAGCTTTTTTTATTCCCCTCGCTACCATCCTTCAGAATCACTTTATTTTGTTTTTGTGTTTGTTTTCCAGCTTTATTGAGTTGTGTAGACAGTTCTTGAAAGACCTCGTTTACAAAAGGAAGCAGAGAAATGGGGCAGTAGCTGGAGGGGCCTTTGGGATCAAAGGAGGGATTTGTAAGAATGGGAAGAGGGCTTCCCTGGTGGCGCAGTGGTTGAGAGTTCACCTGCCGATGCAGGGGACACGGGTTTGTGCCCCGGTCTGGGAAGATCCCATATGCCGCGGCGGCTGGGCCCGTGAGCCATGGCCGCTGAGCCTGCGCATCCGGAAGCTGTGCGATAAAAAAAAAAAAAAAAAAAAAAAAAAAAAAGAATGGGAAGAAATACTAGAGGTTGTTTGTATGTTGATGAGAGAGAAGGTGGTTGCTGATAAAGGATTAGGACAGAATAACTGAAGGAGCCACGTCCTAGGGAAGGTTGGAGGGGATAGGATTTAGAGTTGAAGCAGAGGGCTTGGCCTTTGATAAGTGTAAAAACATTTCTATCATTGTTACAGGGTCCAGTGGGTTTGGCAAAAAAAGCATAGACTGGGGTAAGAACTGGAAAGTCATTGTAATAGTCTATAGTAGCAGTTTTCAAAGTGTGGTCTGCAGACCCCTGGGGATCCCCATGACCTCTTCAAGGGAATTCATGAGGTCAAAACTACTTTCATAGTAATACTAAGACATTATTTTTAAAACAAAACTAAAAAAAAAAAAAACTAATTCAATTAAAAATTTGCGGAAAAAAAGTGGTTAAAACTACTGTCATTTTAGCATGAATCAAGGCAAGTAGCATCAAAGTCATTGAATTATTTACCCCATGCATTTGCAGTGACCCCCCCCCAAAAAAAGCCAGTCTTACTTAAAATGTCCTTGATTTTTACTTCAATAAAATAATACAATAAAACTTATTAATTTAAAATTTCAACCCTTAAATACAGATCTCTTCAGTATTCTTTATTATGAGGTGGGAAGAATCCATAAAGTACTGCTGCTGCGTACTGAACTCCGGCGGTTGTCTTGAGGAAAAGCAGTTGTTCAATTGTT